AAATTTTCTATGAAAATTTTCCATTAAAGGACAATTTATCGAAAATTATTAATAAAAAGAGAATTTATTGAAAATTTTATACAAAAAGAGAATTTAACGAAATTTTCTATAAAAAGAGAATTTAACGAAATTTTCTATAAAAAGAGAATTTAACGAAATTTTCTATAAAAGGAGAATTTATCGAAAATTTTCTATAAAAAGAGAATTTATCGAAAATTTTCTATAAAAAGAGAACTTATCAAAAAGTTTCTATAAAATGAGAATTTATCGAAAAGTTTCTATAAAAAGAGAATTTATCGAAAAGTTGCTATAAAAAGAGAATTTATCGAAAATTTTCTATAAAAAGAGAATTTATCGAAAATTTTCTATAGAAAGAGAATTTATCGAAAATTCTCTATAAAAAGAGAATTTATCGAAAACTCTCTGTAAAAAGAGAATCGAAAATCCTCTTTAAAAAGAGAATTTATCGTACAATCTCAATAAAAAGAGAATTTATAGAAAATTTCTTATAAAAAGTATAATATATAGAAAATTTTCTATTAAAAGAGAATTGATCGAAAATTTTCTATAAAAGAGAATTTATCAAAAATATTCTATAAAAAGAGAATATATCGAAAATTTTCTATAAAAAGAGAATATATCGAAAATTTTCTATAAAAAGAGAATTTATCGAAAGTTTTCAATTTAAAGAGAATTTATCGAAAATTTTTTAGAAAAAGTAGATTTATCGAAAATTTTCTACAAAAAGAGAATTTGTCGAAAATTTTCTATAAAAGGAGAATTTATCGAAAAATCTCTATGAAAAGAGAATTTATCAAAAATTCTCTATAAAAGGAGAATTTATCAAAAATTCTCTATTAAAAAAGAATTTATCAAAAATTCTCTGTAAAAAGAGAATTTATCGGAAATTTTCTATAAAAGGAGAACTTCTCGAAAATTTTCTATAAAAGAGATAAAAGAGTATTTATCGAAAATTGTCTATAAAAAAAGAATTTATCGAAAATTGACTATAAAAAAAGAATTTATCGAAAATTTTCTATAAAAAGAGGATTTTATCGAAATTTTTCTATAAAAAGAGAATTTATCGAAAATTTTCTATAAAGAGAATTTAACGAAATTTTCTATAAAATGAGAACTTACCGAAAATTTTCTATACAAAGACAATTCTATAAAAGAGAGAATTTATCGAAAATTGTGTATAAAAAGAAAATTTATGGAAAATTTTCTATGAAAGGACAATTTATCGAAAATTGTTAATAAAAAGAGAATTTATTGAAAATTTTATATATCGAAAATTTTCTATGAAAGAAGAACTTATCGAAAATTGTCTATAAAGGGAGAATTTATCGAAAATTGTCTATAAAGGGAGAATTTATCGAAAATTTTCTATAAAAAGAGAATTTATCGAAAATTTTCTATAAAAAGAGAACTTATCAAAAAGTTTCTATAAAAAGAGAATTTATCGAAAAGTTTCTATAAAAAGAGAATTTATCGAAAAGTTTCTATAAAAAGAAAATTTATAGAAGATTTTCTATAGAAAGAGAATTTATCGAAAATTTTCAATGAAAAGACAATTTATCGAAAATCTTCAATGAAAAGAGAATTTATCGAAAATTTTCTATAAAAAGAGAATTATCTAAAATTTTCTATAAAAAGAGAATTTACTGAAATCTTTCTAAATTTATGGACAATATTCTTAAAAAGAAAATGCATCGAAAATGTTCTAGAAAAGTAAAAATTTAACAAAGATTTTCTATTGAAGACAATTTATTAAAACTTTTCCCAAATAGATAATCTATCAAAAATTCTTTATAAAAAAAGAAAAAAATTCTCTATAAAAAGTTCTAATTAATTATTTTACATTTTTTCATTCAAAGGACATTAAAGCTTATAAAAATAATCTTCAAACTGCCTCCAAATAGTTGAATGATCTCAAAATGTTTATACTGACTTTCAGATTGCATTATTAATTATATCATTTCTATAACGGCAAATTTATTGCGAAATTCAGCAAAAGTGTTAAGTTTTACATAAACAATACGCAAATGAAATACAAGTCAAGTGAAAGATTTATCAGAAAATTTGAAAACGAAAACTAAACAAAAGTTTTAACATTTTATATTGAAATCACACACACGAATGTATGTCTGTAGATATATCCATTGTTTTTTAGTTTTGTGTTATTTTCACTTCACTTCAAAATCATTTCAGTTCAATTGCATTTTAATGTATACAACAACGTTTTTTGATTTGGTGTGAAATAAATTTATTGCAATCAAACTTTCGTTGCCATAAATACGAAAAACATTAAGGCGTTTTGTGGAAATTCTGTAATATGATTTTGACTTTTTTGAATTTTAGTTTAGTAGTTGTTTACTACTGTTGATGTGTAAACAATTCTAGTTTTTTAAAATAACAAATTGAAATAATTTGAATAAATATTACCACTGAAAGTGTTTATAAAATAGAGCTGTAGTGTTGTTTTTTAGAAAATCTTTGTTTTTGATCATCTACGAATTTAAAGTATGAATAATGAATTTATTTTGTGTTAAAACTGCGGAAAAAACGAAACTTATCGAAAATTCTTTAAGCAATGTAAATTCTCAAAAAAAAAAAAGAATGAAATTATCGAAAATTTGGTAGAAGAGAGAATTTATCAAAAACGTCCTTAGAAGGAATTTTATCGAAAATTTTATTAACATAGAATCTATCAACAATTCTCTGAAAACACAGAATTTATTTCATTGAAAATAAACAAATCCTCAAAAATTCAACTATATGGGACTATTCTCTAACAGAGATTTTGTAGACTACTCTCTAACACACTAGGATTTATAGAAAATTGTCTATTAATAAGTTATAATATGTTCTATATGTTCAGTTCTAGTTCAGTTCTAGTTCAGTTTCTAGTTCAATTCTAGTTCAGTTCTAGATCAGTTCTAGTCAGTTCTAGTTCAGTTCTAGTTCAGTTCAGTTCTAGTTCAGTTCTAGTTCAGTTCTAGTTCAGTTCTAGTTCAGTTCTAGTTCAGTTCTAGTTCAGTTCTAGTTCAGTTCTAGTTCAGTTCTAGTTCAGTTCTAGTTCAGTTCTAGTTCAGTTCTAGTTCAGTTCTAGTTCAGTTTCTAGTTCAGTTCTAGTTCAGTTCTAGTTCAGTTCTAGTTCAGTTCTAGTTCAGTTCTAGTTCAGTTCTAGTTCAGTTCTAGTTCAGTTCTAGTTCAGTTCTAGTTCAGTTCTAGTTCAGTTCTAGTTCAGTTCTAGTTCAGTTCTAGTTCAGTTCTAGTTCAGTTCTAGTTCAGTTCTAGTTCAGTTCTAGTTCAGTTCTAGTTTCAGTTCTAGTTCAGTTCTAGTTCAGTTCTAGTTCAGTTCTAGTTCAGTTCTAGTTCAGTTCGTTCTTCTAGTTCAGTTCTAGTTCAGTTCTAGTTCAGTTCTAGTTCAGTTCTAGTTCAGTTCTAGTTCAGTTCTAGTTCAGTTCTAGTTCAGTTCTAGTTCAGTTCTAGTTCAGTTCTAGTTCAGTTCTAGTTCAGTTCTAGTTCAGTTCTAGTTCAGTTCTAGTTCAGTTCTAGTTCAGTTCTAGTTCAGTTCTAGTTCAGTTCTAGTTCAGTTCTAGTTCAGTTCTAGTTCAGTTCTAGTTCAGTTCTAGTTCAGTTCTAGTTCAGTTCAGTTCAGTTCCAGTTCAGTTCTAGTTCAGTTCTAGTTCAGTTCTAGTTCAGTTCTAGTTCAGTTCTAGTTCAGTTCTAGTTCAGTTCTAGTTCAGTTCTAGTTTAGTTCTAGTTCAGTTCTAGTTCAGTTCTAGTTCAGTTCTAGTTCAGTTCTATTCAGTTCTAGTTAGTTCTAGTTCAGTTCTAGTTCAGTTCTAGTTCAGTTCTAGTTCAGTTCTAGTTCAGTTCTAGTTCAGTTCTAGTTCAGTTCTAGTTCAGTTCTAGTTCAGTTCTAGTTCAGTTCTAGTTCAGTTCTAGTTCAGTTCTAGTTCAGTTCTAGTTCAGTTCTAGTTCAGTTCTAGTTCAGTTCTAGTTCACTTCTAGTTCAGTTCTAGTTCAGTTCTCTAGTTCAGTTCTAGTTCAGTTCTAGTTCAGTTCTAGTTCAGTTCTAGTTCAGTTCTAGTTCAGTTCTAGTTCAGTTCTAGTTCAGTTCTAGTTCAGTTCTAGTTCAGTTCTAGTTCAGTTCTAGTTCAGTTCTAGTTCAGTTCTAGTTCAGTTCTAGTTCAGTTCTAGTTCAGTTCTAGTTCAGTTCTAGTTCAGTTCTAGTTCAGTTCTAGTTCAGTTCTAGTTCAGTTCTAGTTCAGTTCTAGTTCAGTTCTAGTTCAGTTCTAGTTCAGTTCTAGTTCAGTTCTAGTTCAGTTCTAGTTCAGTTCTAGTTCAGTTCTAGTTCAGTTCTAGTTCAGTTCTAGTTCAGTTCTAGTTCAGTTCTAGTTCATTCTAGTTCAGTTCTAGTTCAGTTCTAGTTCAGTTCTAGTTCAGTTCTAGTTCAGTTCTAGTTCAGTTCTAGTTCAGTTCTAGTTCAGTTCTAGTTCAGTTCTAGTTCAGTTCTAGTTCAGTTCTAGTTCAGTTCTAGTTCAGTTCTTTCAGTTCTAGTTCAGTTCTAGTTCAGTTCTAGTTCAGTTCTAGTTCAGTTCTAGTTCAGTTCTAGTTCAGTTCTAGTTCAGTTCTAGTTCAGTTCTAGTTCAGTTCTAGTTCAGTTCTAGTTCAGTTCTAGTTCAGTTCTAGTTCAGTTCTAGTTCAGTCTAGTTCAGTTCTAGTTCAGTTCTAGTTCAGTTGAAAAATTTATTGAAAATTAAATTTTCTGTAAAAGTAAGACTTGATCAAACATTATATGAAAAAAAATTATATGAAAAAATTATATCAAAAATATTTTTAAAAATATTGATTGAAAATTTTTTTATTTTAAGAAAATTTTTTATATGAAATGTTTTTATGAAATTTTTAAATGAAGAAAATTTATTAAAATGCGGGAGAAATTCACATACATATTACTTTAATTGAAATTTGATTAAAAACACACTTACTAGATTCACATAATTCTGTCGAATTTTCCATTTTTAGTTTTTTTGATCTCCCAAAACAATTTAAAATTATTAACTTTTTTTCACTTTTCAAACTTTTATAATTTTTTCGTTCTAAAACCACTTAAGATTTCCAACGAATATTTTTTAATATTTTTTTGCAAACACATCAATCATTATTTATAATTTGAACATATAATATTATTTGTTGTTTGTGGTTTTAATTTTACATTAAATGCTTTTAGAAACATTTCATTTTGTAGCACAACACTTGAACACTTGTTTTGTCATTATCAGCATTAAATTTATGTTTTATATCGTTTTATTTTTTCTTGCAAAATTTATATTAAATGAATCATTTATAAATTTTTTATAAGGCTTTTAAATTTATCATTATTATATTTTTTCTTTTTAAAACAACACAGACAAAATATTAAATTTAAACAAAAGAATTTCTAATGACAGCCGTAAAAATGTGCGTTAGCGAAAGTGTGTTTTTTGTATTTCATATAAATTTAAAAATTTTCTATAAACTTTTCTTTTTTATTTATATTTTCTTTAATATTGTAGTATTAAACACAATTTTTTTTGTATTTTTATTTTTCTAACGAAAAACCACCGAAAGAAAATTTTAAAATTTCTATAACAAACCGCAAGTTTATAAACACAAAACTGGGATGAGGAAACAAAAAAATAAATTTTATATTTTACAGCACAATTGAAATAAAACAACAACAAATATAGAGGAAAAAACTTAATTTATTAAACAGTTTGTAGGTATGTATTTATTTATGTACGTCCGTCCATCCATTGGTATGTCTGATTGTCCGTCTAGTCTGTAAAAACAAATGTAAACAATTTAACTAAATGCATAAAATATATGATTTCTTCCTTCTTTTGCTTGTTGTTGTTGTTTTCTAAAATTTGCTTTTTGTTTTTAAATAATTTATTTTATTTTATAAGATTTATTCAGACAAAATATATGTATATTCCATTTTAATACAATTATATATATCTAATAATTTCTTTTTTTTTTTGTTGTTTGCTTTTATATGATTGATTAAATTTTTCTCTTTTTTTTTATATATAAATTTGTTCTTGAAATTTGTATTTTTGTGTACAATTTTTTCAAAGATTTTCCAAATTTGTTTATTTTATTAATTTTTCCTTAATTCATTTTTAATTTATTATTTTCACAACATTATGTACCACTTGTCACTTCAATATTTTATCATTTATCAATGACTTTTTAGAAATATTTATTTTTTCGCTTATTTATATAAATTAAATAAATTTATTTTTAAATTTCGTTATTTATTTCGTACACTTTTGTGTATTTCAGAAAACGTGTGTTTCTTCTTTGAATTTCCTATATAAACTGACAACTTGTTTGTTGCTATTGGGGTTTTCCAGATTATGCTCTCTTTTTTGTCTTGGAAAGTGATCATGAAATAATGCTTTCCTTACATTTAAATTCTCTTAAATTCAATCGCTTTAAGAGTTAAATATTTAATGCAGACAATTCTTAAATTTGTCTTTCATTCATTGGTTAAATACTGGTTCCATTTCGAAAAATGTGGAATTTATCGAAATTTTTCTACAATATAATTTTTTCAAAATTTTCGAAAACTAAAATTTCGTTAAAAATTGAACTAGAACTGAACTAGAACTGAAATAGAACTGAACTAGAAACTGAACTAGAACTGAACTAGAACTGAACTAGAACTGAACTAGAACTGAACTAGAACTGAACTAGAACTGAACTAGAACTGAACTAGAACTGAACTAGAACTGACTAGAACTGAAACTAGAACTGAACTAGAACTGAACTAGAACTGAACTAGAACTGAACTAGAACTGAACTAGAACTGAACTAGAACTGAACTAGAACTGAACTAGAACTGAACTAGAACTGAACTAGACTGAACTAGAACTACTAGAACTGACTAGAACTGAACTAGAACTGAACTAGAACTGAACTAGAACTGAACTAGAACTGAACTAGAACTGAACTAGAACTGAACTAGAACTGACTAGAACTGAACTAGAACTGAACTAGAACTGAACTACTGAACTAGAACTGAACTAGAACTGAACTAGAACTGAACTAGAACTGAACTAGAACTGAACTAGAACTGAACTAGAACTGAACTAGAACTGAACTAGAACTGAACTAGAACTGAACTAGAACTGAACTAGAACTGAACTAGAACTGAACTAGAACTGAACTAGAACTGAACTAGAACTGAACTAGAACTGAACTAGAACTGAACTAGAACTGAACTAGAACTGAACTAGAACTGAACTAGAACTGAACTAGAACTGAACTAGAACTGAACTAGAACTGAACTAGAACTGAACTAGAACTGAACTAGAACTGAACTAGAACTGAACTAGAACTGAACTAGAACTGAACTAGAACTGAACTAGAACTGAACTAGAACTGAACTAGAACTGAACTAGAACTGAACTAGAACTGAACTAGAACTGAACTAGAACTGAACTAAACTGAACTAGAACTGAACTAGAACTGAACTAGAACTGAACTAGAACTGAACTAGAACTGAACTAGAACTGAACTAGAACTGAACTAGAACTGAACTAGAACTGAACTAGAACTGAACTAGAACTGAACTAGAACTGAACTAGAACTGAACTAGAACTGAACTAGAACGAACTAGAACTGAACTAGAACTGAACTAGAACTGAACTAGAACTGAACTAGAACTGAACTAGAACTGAACTAGAACTGAACTAGAACTGAACTAGAACTGAACTAGAACTGAACTAGAACTGAACTAGAACTGAACTAGAACTGAACTAGAACTGAACTAGAACTGAACTAGAACTGAACTAGAACTGAACTAGAACTGAACTAGAACTGAACTAGAACTGAACTAGAACTGAACTAGAACTGAACTAGAACTGAACTAGAACTGAACTAGAACTGAACTAGAACTGAACTAGAACTGAACTAGAACTGAACTAGAACTGAACTAGAACTGAACTAGAACTGAACTAGAACTGAACTAGAACTGAACTAGAACTGAACTAGAACTGAACTAGAACTGAACTAGAACTGAACTAGAACTGAACTAGAACTGAACTAGAACTGAACTAGAACTGAACTAGAACTGAACTAGAACTGAACTAGAACTGAACTAGAACTGAACTAGAACTGACTAGAACTGAATTGAACCAGAACTGAGCTAGAACTAAACTAGAACTGAACTAGAAATGAACTAGAACTGAACTAGAACTGAGCTAGAAACTGAGCTAGAACTGAACTAGAACTGAACTAGAACTGAACTAGAACTGAACTAGAACTGAACTAGAACTGAACTAGAACTGAACTAGAACTAAACTAGAACTGAACAAGAACTAAACTAGAACTGAAATAATGCAAATTTTAACAAATAATCAAATTCCCAAAACACAAGTAGTAACTGCGTGTAATCGTTTTCTCTAGAAGAATTAAGTAAATATTTTGAAAAGCTCTGGAAGAAAGCTTTTTAGATATGTATTTTAAGAGTAATATTTGGAAAAATGTTAAATAAATGTTAGTATCACGAGCAAAAATGTTCTTTAAAACTTTCTGTGCTTGTTGTCATTAAAAATCTCTGTTATCCAAGATCGTTAAGATGTTAAGAAAAATACATTCAAAAGCTTTTTAAAAATATTGTAGACAAACACAAATATTAAAACAGCTGTAAAATTTTCTAAATTCTCTTTGTGCTTCTGTTTTTAACACGATTCTCTTAAATCTGCTATTATTTTATTCTTACTGTATAGTAAATATTTCCATTATTACAATTTGGTTGTTTCAACAAATCAGACATAAAAAACAAACAAAAATTAAACAAGAACATGCAGCATCTAACACCATTCAAATACTCAGACAAAATGCAGAAAAATATACATTTTCCATTCATTCAATAAATAAACTATTTGCTCAAAACAACGTTTTTTGTTGAAAAATGCAGTCGATATTTTTACTAGTGTTTTATTTTATTGTTTAGAAATGATGTTGAAAGATCAAAAAACTTTTAGAGAAAATAAACAAATTTATACAAAACATTTATAGCATTTTAATGGAAACGTGAGAGAATAAACATAAACAAAATAAAGTTAATACAAGTATTAGAGGAAGAGATACAATTATTTTGTAAAAATAAACGGTCATTTACATTTGACCCCTTTCGTAAAATACACAAAAAAGAATTTTCTGGAAATTTTTTTTTTTTTTTTTTTTTTTTTTTTTTTAATCAAATTCTTTATTTGCAATCTATTCTAGAACATTAAGCAAATTTGATAATTTATACAAATTCACATAAGTTATTAATTACCAGTGTAATCAATAACATAATCTACAAACATATGCATATGTATTTAGATAATTATTTACATTTTAAGTATAAAAATAATATTTACATAAATTTACAAATGTATGCGAAAATATTCGAAAACAAATAATAGTTTATTCCCTAAATGGGAGGTCTAAAACATGGACTCTTTTCAATCTCCTGATAGTTTCAGTTTCATCTAGTAATGAGATGGCCAACGGATTAACGTGATCGCTTAACCTTTGAACATATCTGTTACTAAAATTTTTTATTTCATCTTTAACATACGGAATATCCAAATCTTTATGTATTGCTTTATTCGTAATATACCATGGTGCTGCGACAATCATTCGTAACACTTTTGATTGAAATCTTTGTAAAATTTCAATGTTGGAGTTACTTGCTGTACCCCAAAGTTGAATGCCATAAGTCCATATGGGTTTTATAATACATTTATAAAGCAGTAATTTATTCTCTAAACTTAATTCAGATTTTGAACCTAACAGCCAGTACATTTTTTTTACTTTGGTATCCAATTGAGATCTTTTTGATTTTATATGGTTTTTCCACGTTAGTCGCCTATCTAAATGCATTCCTAGATATTTTACATGATTACTTTTTGGAATTTGAGAGCCATTCATAAGTATAGCTGGGCAATCATCACGTCTTAAAGTGAATGTCACATGATTAGACTTTTGTTCATTTACTTTTATATTCCAATAATTTAGCCATGTCTGCAAGTTGTCAATTTGATTTTGAATTAAATTAGATGCTTCTATTGCCGACGTACTTATTGCCAAAAAGGCAGTATCGTCAGCATAAGTGGCTACCGTAACGTCACTCGAACAAGGCATATCTGAAGTAAATATTGTATACAACATCGGTCCTAGTACACTGCCTTGTGGTATTCCTGCTTTAATTTTGCAGTAGTTTGAAATTTCATTGTTTACTCTTACATAAAAGTAGCGTTCATTTAAAAAAGATTTT